CCAGAGGAACTAAGCAACTCAGTGCTTAAGATGCCAAGAAGCATTAATGGGGCTTGTGTGCACAGCAGGCTGGCTTTGGAGCCTGAGTTGTTGACACATGAAAGAGATGGAAGCATCATTTTAGAATTGGACCTCTAGGAAAGGTCAAACTCATCCTTACTTGCAAAAGATGTGATTGGATGCCGAGAATTCCCAAAAGAATCCATTGAAAATTAGTGAAATGAGTGAGACTTCTGGGGGATGGGGGGGGAGGGCTGGGGGCAAGACTCCCATCTCCAGCTGTTTCTTCTGTTACACTAGCAATTGCAGGTTAGAAAATACCAGAAAACACCAAAGCGGTGGGGAGAGGGCCCATGAGCTTCATTTAATAGTTATTCTAACAGATATAACTAACAATAATCTTAATTATAAGAAGTTTTCTGAAACAATAATAGAAACATCGAGAAACATTACAAACTAATGGACTAAAAGACAAACCAATGGAAAAATACTTCAGATTTGGAAGCCAGAAAACTTAAGAAAAGTCACCTAGACATAAATTTGCTGATTCACTATAATTCCAACCAGAATATGCAGTGAGAATTTTTTATAACTCAAAACTTTATGTAAGGAAAATAGTAATAAGAAAAGGAACTGAAACATGTTGGAACAGGAATTGTAACACATTTCCTGAAAAATTTTCAGCATAGTGTGGTCTTGAAAAAGATGCCACTGTGTATGGTAGACACATTATTGAAATGGTTCACAAGGCAGAGAGAGGAAAGGAAAGCGCTAGGCAAGGAACGTGCCCTGAGCAATGAACTGGCTGCGGTGTGGGGGAGAGGAAGGTACACTTGCCCTTGCTAGGTACTCCAGAGGGCAAAGAGGGCTGGGGGCTCACCTTTGTTTAGGGTACAGAGAGATGGTTCCTGGGTCTGTTTTAGCAACAGTCTCCATGGCAGGTCCTAACCCCAGGTTGGAAAGAATATGGAACATGACATGAGAACCTTCCCCAACATTCCACCTTGACAACTTTTGTGAATTCACCTACCCTGGACATGTCAGTTTCCCTCACCATAGACTGAGGGTGATGGACCAAACAGATCTCATTCCAACAAGCTGTTGTTCTAGAAGTCCATGAGTCTAAAATGGATGTAGAAAGGGTCAACGTCTGGCCAGGAATTTTTGTGTCTCAATCAGTTACACAGCTCATCATACTTATTTATAGATACAGGCGCTGCCAATTTTTAGAAAGAAAACAAATCATCTGAAATTTCTAATTTGAGGTTTATGAGAGCCTTTTTGTAAGAGGGCTAGAGAGGAATGCAACTTGGTGATCTTGGGAGAGGCATTTTGGCAAGAAATTACTTGCTGTGAAAGAAACTTAATGGCAGCTTAGGTCTAAGACTAAATCAGCAAGAGCATGAAGAACTGTAAGCCGCTTAGAGACTGGTCATGAATCCATTTCGCTAGTTCTCACCCAACTCCATGTGAGCTGGAAAGGCCAAGCTCTTTTCTCTTCCATAAGTTGGCCAACTAAATTTCAGAGACACTAAGCACCTTCTACAGATTGCCTGGTTGTGAGCCTTGGGGGATAAAGTCCGTTATTTGACAAAGCACAAGACTGACAATGTGTCTGTACAGGGTGTGGTGGGGACAGGGAGTATTTGTAACATTCTGGACATATTGCAGTTGAAACAATTTGCATAGGGGGATTGACTTTAAGTCCTCAGTTTCCTCCTCTTTTAATTGGGAAGTCAAATGTCTCCCTCCCGGAACTTGCCAAGAAGGCTAAGTGAGGCCAAGGAAAATTCCAGCACTGTTCCTGCCTCTGTTGGGTGTGAGGCCCAGGGCAGCTAGTCTGGCCCATGGTCAGTGAGCTCTATGATTATACTTTTCTTTATACTTAAACAGGGAACCCTGATTTTCATTGGTACTATTTTTAGTAGTTGCCTAAACTTTCACGAATACACACAAAAGCAAGAAGCAGGTCGACCGATCACCAAGTCGTCCTTGAATGCCTGGTCCACCCTTCCGAGCTCCCAGGCTGCAGAGACCACAGAGCAAAGTCTGCTCCGGGAACACTCTTCTGTGCTAAATTTCTCTTGAAAAGTTTTCTGACACTGACTTCAGTCAAGTCACTTACCTCCATTGTGCCTTAGTTTCCTCAGCTATAAAGAGAAAGCTGCTAATGGCACCGACATCTTTAGGGTTGTGGTATCGATGAAATGAGTTAGTTCCTATGGCACTCTTAGGACAGTCTTTGGCACACAGCAAACCCACCCTGAGGACCTCCAGCATGCCCACTGCTGTCGCCACTGGCTCTCCTGGCCTGGGTGTCTGGTGCTTTTCTCCCAGACCACATGCATCTCCTGATGGCCATTTCCAAGGCTTTTGAACACCCAGGCTGTCCCCTTTTCCCCACAATTGCCAGTCCTTTGCAGCTGAGAATGAATCTTCAGGAAAACAATCTGGAGTGGATCTAGTGCCCAGGTGATCTAAAAAGAGTAATTAACAAGGAAGTCCTTCCCGGGGCACTAAACGCATGCACTCCTCATAGCAACACTATGGAAGAAACTGAGGCTTACAACGGATTACTGAGTCCTTTGGATCCAGTTCTGTGTGGACCCAAAGTCCACGCTTCTAGCCAGAGCCCTGGCAGCTGCCTCTGCTATTGCAACACAAGTCTGGGTCTCAGGAGCCAGGGACCACTGTCCGTGAAACACGCTCTCTTCAAGCCTGTCGCTTTGGAGTTCTATACCTGGCCCCCGGCATGCAAATGGAGAACGGTCTCTGAGACTTCCACTTATTTGTCCTCACAAGTAAAATCTCCAGACTTATTTAAAGTCCTACCCAGACTTACCCCGAGGGGGGGGGGGACCATGGCTGAGGTCTGATCCTGTCTCAGTGATGTCCTGCAGGAAGCGTCTCCCTGACACGCCGTCGCCCCTCCTGGAAGCTTCTCTGTCTCCGGGGGTCAGTCACAAATGTTTCATCATTTCCAACCAGGTGGGGCTTGCGCTCAGAAGATAGTCATCTCGCTTAGTTGAGTAGTGCAGGGTGAAGCGACAGATAAGCCCTCCAATCTCTCTTGCCCGCTTGTCCTGCTCCACACCTCCCACCCCCCTCACTTTATGCAGATGAAGGAAACCAGCCGTCTCTGTGTGCACACGGTTCACTGACACGAATGTGCACACAAACTGGGAGAGTGGAAGAAGCCCTGGCGGAGGTTCAAGTCCAGCTCTGGCACGGATGTGCCGCATGAGCTCAGATGAGACCCTTTGCCATCAGGGGACTCATTCTCTACAAAATAAAGAATTAACTCGCTAGAGAACTAGCAAAGGTCCCTTCCAACTCGGCTCATCTCTGAACCTGTGTGTGATATGGCTGTAGATTGAGGCCAAGTGATGGGACAGAGCAAGTGATGAGGGCAGTTTTTCAAGGATAACTTGTCATTAAACATTGCAGGAGGCAAACACTGCAGGTGGCAAATGATAATGCCAGGAAAGGACAGCAGGCTGGGGGTGGGGGTGTGTGGGGGCTTAGGTTAAAACCCCAGAATGTAAACTCAAATTAAATCCCAAGAATGAAGAAGAAAGGGAGGAGAATGAAATGGTGCTGATATAAAACACAGAACTTTATAGACCCCTGTGTTACCACCCTCCCCTGCTTTCGACAAATTACCAGTACAGAATACTAATTACCAGTATTGAATCCTAATTAACCATATAGACTAGTTATTACCAATATAGAACACTAATTACCCATACAGGATACGAGTTCCCCATATTGGATACTAATTACCGGTATGGAACAAGAGTTACCAGTATAGGGTACTAATTAATAGTATAGAATTTGACTTCAGTGAGGTATATTCAGAATTGAATCCTGACTCTACTACTTGGTAGCTGGGTGACTTAGAAAGTGTTTCTGAACATCTCCCATCCTCAGTTTTTTTGCCTGAAAAATTGGGCTAATAATAAATACCTGGGCCCTCCCTGGTGGCGCAGCGGGTTAGGATGCAGCACTGCAAGCTAGCTGCATCTGCTTCAGTGTGAGTTCAATCCTTGGCCCTGGAGGTGACCCACATGGTGCAGCAGACTTCGTCTGTTTTGCCCGCTGCTCCCCTCAGCAGTGTACTTCGTCCATCTGCCTGTTCTGCTCCCCACTCTGTCTCTGTGAATCCTCTCACCACCCCTGTACCTATGGCCTATACCCCAGTTCTGGAGGCATAAATAAATAAATCTTTAAAAAAATGATTGCCTATTTAAAAAAAATCTCTTTATTTAAAGTCCAATCATGTCAATGAATGTGCTAAGTGCTTAACAGAATTTCCTTTCTGATGGTAGGTATCTACATTTTTATTCTCTAAGTGAAACTTAAAGATATCCCTTAGACTGAATCCCACAGGGTGTTCTAGAACCTTCGTTGCAGAAGTGCCTGTAGCTGCTGTTCTCTTTCCTTTGGGTAGCTTGTGGTAAGAAACCGAGACCTTATTATCAACGCAGGATTTTGGAATACGCCAGAACACTGACGCTGTGGGAGCAGTTTCCTACCTTGCCGGGCCCTCTACACCCTGCCCGTATCACCTCTAAGTAACAGCTATAGTCCATCTATGGGCATCGGGTCAGCTTCCTGCCTCACTACTTCTGTCTCCCACTGCATGAACTCAGTGTTGACAGAGCAGCAGCCAGTCATACACATTCCTACTGCTCTGGTCTGAATGGAATATTCCTGCATCAGAACATTCCAGGATGCCACCCCAAGGATCCCAAGATCGAGTCCTTGTTGAGGGTCTTTGAAGGGGGCATGTTTTGGGTGCTCTGAGTGGGCCCACGGTGACTTGGAGCCCCGCCACATGCACCATCTCTGGACTACATTTTGCTGATTAATCTACACATCTCTGCGCTAAACAGCAAAGTAAGAATTGTTGAGGGCTATTCTCCTCATTCTCCCCATAGCCAGTGCTCTGCCTTCCCTCCGTAGGAGTTCACTCCTCGCGTGGGGCACGGGTAAATATAGTGCCCTATTATATACGGACAGGTGTGGGTGCCACATCTTCCCCAAATGAGATGGTGATTCGCTCACAAAGGCACTTAACCTGTCCTGGCCAGAGGCCACTGGGAATCATGGAACCCAGTGGAATGTTCTTCACTGAAGTTAGGCCCAGCCTCCAGCTGCCAAGCCCCTAGAGATGGGGTGCTCTTCTCTGTGCTGAAGGCAGATGGAAGCCCCAAAGGCAGGCTTGAAGAGGAGATCAGAGGAGTGATAAATGAAGTCATAACATCTGTATAGCAACAGGAAGCTTATTTTTTGATAGCTTATCATCTGGCAGGGAAGAAGTGCTGATTATTAGGCTGACAACACACTGTCAATTCCCATCCTAGCCCTCACTTTCCATGACCATCTGCCTTCTGGGCCCTTCCTCAGCACCAGGCCTCTGACCTCTGTGGGACATGGTGGCCCAGGAATACACGTGCTCTCTGCAGGACAGTTAATCCCTCTCTCCATTTTCAAGGGAGGAAAGTGGTGCGCGGACATGATTAGGGACTATCTGAAAGGGGGGATCTCAACTCACTATCTAATCACCCTAATATACTTTTCACATAACACCATCCCTGCATACTTGCAAGGATTTTAGGGTTCCCTCCCACCTCTGGGTGATGGCACATGTTTGTCCCTCTGCCCCCAGATGTGACATTTTTAGGTGCTTCCTGTAACCCCATTTTTAAAAGCTCCCTGTTACCCTTTTTGCTGATATGACAGTCTGTGGCTGTTCTGTCATTTCCAGTTTGACCACAACGCATGATGCCCCCGTACGCACATTTTGTAGTTTGCCTCAGGCTGTTTCCTCCCATGAAGCCCCAGGTGTGGGGGACACATGAGTCAGAGGACAGCGACAGGGCACCTGTGTCATGGTGGCCTACTGCTCTGAAGATATGCTTAGTGATTCCCTG